ACTACTGTCTCTGGTTCTATCTCACTTTCAGTTGCTCTCTTTCACCCCTCACATAAATTATTTGAAATGATTGCTTGACTCGAGTACGAGTGCCATTTTTCTGTGCTTCTTCCGAAATTGTAATTTTAGAGAATTTTCGTACGCTTTGTTGTTCGCGCCCAAGACGAACGAAAATGGCAGGCAAGCAAACGAGAGCAACAGTGAGGGACACAGGGAAAGAGATACAGCGACAGTGACACATAGAGATAAAGAGTACGAGCTGGAAATTGCTGAAGCTGTTCCAGCCAGTTAGCGGACGAGCGAGCGTACAATCGAACAACAACTTCTAAATGGCGCACATTCTGTTTAATGGCATCGGTCGGTTGGTGCGCTTTGGCGCGTTTGCCTCCATTTTTCAAATCAAATTCAATTACCAAGCACTATCAGATATTTTTCAAATGAAATTTTCATTGTAAACACTAATTTCATTACACATTTCGTCCTCATCATCAGCACTCATTTGCGATGGTATGTTGTTGGTGCTGTTGTTGTTATTGTTGTTGTTCGCGTCACTGTTATGAATTTTCACCATTTTTCGTCATTTTGCAACCACATTTCGCGTTGATTTTTGCCATTTTGTCTCTTTTCTCTCTCTCACTCCCTCTCTATGATTCGCTCTGTTCAAACGTCCAAAACATAATTTCTAATTTCTTTGTGTGCGCTTTCATCATTGTTGTACATGTATATATGTATGTTGATGGCAAAGCGAAATCCATTAAAATTCCCAAACGTAATCAAAGCTACAGCAGACACAAAACAGCGCTTCAACAGTACAATAGTTTGATATTTTCAGCATATCAAAATTCAAGCAAATTCAATTATGATGATTTTGAAAAGAGAAGAAAATCGTCAACGTTTCGTCTCCGTTTTTCGGATGTTAAACCTCTCAACGAGAATTTTCCTGTATGTTGTTATTTCAATTTGGTTTTTTTTCTCTATTTTTTTGAAGCGAAAAATCTATGTAATCTAAGTGAACATTAACATTGTGTGCCATGGCATGAAAATCCAACATCGAGACTGTCTGTGTGCGAATGTGTGTTTATTTGTCGAATGTCGAGTGTGCATTTTGGCTCAATTTAATACCGTATCCAAATTCAACAATTACAGAAAAAAACTATCGAAACAAGGCTGAGCAGGCAGAGCAGGAGAGAGAGAGAGAGATTGAGACTGAAACGTGCATTTTGATAGCTTCTTAAGGAGCATTTACATTTCAAGTGTATGTATGTGTTTGTTTGTTTGTTTGTTTGCTACATCAACGTTCGTTTTGTTATTCAATTCAGGAGTTGATACACATTTCTCTCTATTTCTCCGACACACACACACACAGTGAGAGAGAGAGAGAGAGAGAGAGAGAGAGTGAGAGATATTGTTTAAATTTCAGTGCTGTTTATCGCATGCAAATTTTCGTAAAATCTTTGCTAATCTGTCACTCGGAATCATAGGCACGTTTCAATGTGATTATTATTTATAAGCATGTAGAATGTCATGTATACAACATGAAACGCGTCTCAGCTTTATTTAAATACGCTCTTTGTACACACAATTCCAATCCCCGTAATTCGTAAGCACATACGCACACACGAACGCACGCACATTGAGACATGGCAAGAGACGACGCACTAAATCGCATCGTATCACATCAAATGATATGATAACACACAATTTTTATGTTACAAATGATTTTTCGATTAAATCAACCGTTTATCTGTGCAAATGGCAAATTAGTATTGTGCTGGGTTTCGGCGTGACAACATTCCTTTTCAACTCCCGGATGGGGCACATGAACCTTGACACTTTCAAAGTAAAAGTACAGTTGTCAAGTCAAAGTTTTCTTCGTACGAAGAATTGTATACACACATACTTTAACTAATCTGCCCATTGAAATGCAAGCCCCAAACCAGCTTCCTGTCGCATGTGCGATTTACGAATGGGTGAGCGAGCGAACGAGATGCGTGTGAGGCAGCTGAAGTGTTTGCTTTCGATTATGTGTCTATGTAACCAAACAAAATGCTCAATCCCTTTTTTAATTGTCAGTCACGTTTTTCGATTAATACCTATTTGCTTTGCAATCGAATCAGTCGTCACACATTTTACATTAATACCCATCCACCCATTGATTTGCATTTGGAGTATGACGTGATTAGGCCGTACATCCAAGTATGTATGTCCATGGCCAAATTCGGCCTCGGTTAAGTGTGAAAATGATGTGGAACTGAATATTCATTAGAATGAATTCCCAAAAAAAAATTAAACATCTTCTTTCATAAATGAAAAAAATGAATGAATGAATGAAATACTTCACGAATAATATTCTCAGCTAAAAGATAATATAACTTTCAGAATGTTCTCTTCCAGAAAAAAAAATCTATTCGTTTCCTTGCCAGCAAAAATTAGCCATTTTGACTACAAAACTATAAGGTAATATGGATTTCATTGGTCTTGCTTTAAATTAAAAAAAAAAACAGAAAAAACCGCTATAGACCAGAGGAAAAGTGTAGAAGAGTTTCTTTGGAAGTGAGTGTCGAGTTCAATGAAATTATTATTGCCTTGATAATAGAGGCCCTTGAATGAAATTTGATGGTCGAGTTCCCATTGTAAAAAAACTATAAAGTTTACCTTCGAATTTTGAAGTTCGAGTTCTCTTTGCTATAAAAAGAAAATTTAACGTTCCGCAAACAAACCTGTAATAGATACTTCCCTTATCATTTTGCTTGAAATAGATGCATTCGGCCGTTGGCATTTCGACTTGGTTTCATTTTCAATTTAATTACAATGAATGCATTCAGTTGCACCGATTTCAATTGCATTCAAAGTCGTTCTCGCTCTCGCTCTCTCTCTATTTCACTGTGCCTGTCTCTTGTCAATGATGTCGATGGCATAGTAAAAACATTCATGGTTGTTGAATACTTAAAATATATAATACAAAATCCAAACGAATCATCATCGTGCCAATTTACTTCGAAATGTAAATAATCTTACAATTTAAATTGAGCTTTTGTATTTTATTTGTTCTCCGTGTTTTGTATTTGTGCATTCGTCAGTTAATGCTAGCACAAAGCATCCGTACATTGTGTACGTACTGTGTACGCAAACACACACACACACACATCGAGTGAAAAAGTGAATTGAAAAAAGGCCACTACATAATCTTCAAATAAGTCCACTTACAATTACTATACAATTTTCAATGAATGAATGAATGGAATTCTCCGGGAGAATGGAGCGCTGAAGAAACTGAGAGAAAAACATAAGCATGAGCAAGCATCAGCAGCGGCAATGTTGATGAGAGAGACGAAAGAGCATTTGCGACACGATGAATATTTATTATCATTGGAGATTTTTCGGGCATTTTGAAAGTGAATAAAGACAACTTCAATACATAATGTAATAAGGAATTGGGGGGCGGTTTTTTTGTTGTTGAAAAAGAGAACAAAGCCCACAAACACAGTTGCACACATCTTCGTCGCTCTCCTCAATAGAAAAGTGTAGCAGATAAAGCATGTTCGCTTACCGTGTATGTGTGCTTCGTTTCGTATGTTTTGGCATTTGAGAGAATGCCGATATAAGCGATGAAAAACGGAAGCCCGCCGAGAATAACAAAAAATAATAATGAGAGAGCCAAACATAAACAATGTTTTGAATGAAAGAATTTAAATTAAAGCCATTTGACAATTTTATTGAGTGAACAAGCGCGACACAAAAATCAAAAGAAAAACACACAAAGAGAGTGAGTGAGTTTCGAAAAACTATCGGGGTCTTTCTCACTTTGGGCGCGTAACGCGGTAAATCCATTTTCGAGCGGAGAGTTCTTTGTCATTGTTGTTGTTGTTTCAGTAATCTTAAATTATGTAAAAATCCTGGTCGAGAGAATTTTAAAGTCAAAAATTTGAATTCGTCGTCGTCGTTGTTGTTGTTGTTTTTTCTCTCTCTCTCTCTCTCTCTCTCTCTCTCTCTCTCTCTCTCTCTCTTTTTCTTCTCCCGGTTTGTTTGCGTCCGCACATTTCATTTCATTGACAATGCTTTAATAAATAAATAATGGACTTTTATTTGGCACAAAGTGTTGACGCAATAAATACTAAATAAATGACTCGTATTTGTGTATACAGGACGCTATCGTATTGTCGAAGCTGCTGCTACTGCTTGCTTTTTTTTATACCCTGCATAATGGCATTGATGTACTCAAATACAGTCACATGTTCGGACAATAAATACGACCTCGATCGCCGAAAAAAAAAACCGCTCATACCTTCAGTCAACGGCAGAAATTCAGCCACGCACAACCACACATATTCTCGGACTCACTTGATCGCTCGGCCCCCACGAGAGAACGAGAAAGATGGATAGTTAGAGAGAGACTGAGAGACTGAGAGTGAGTGTAGTGAACGGTCGGGCGTGCAACAATGACTTTTTTCCTGCCATTGTTATTGGGCGAGTACAAACAAATAAATAATGCAACGCATTCAATAATAAAAATTTGTATTATGCTCTTGGTCGCACTATTTCGGTAGCGCAAACAGGCGAAACGAATGTGTCAGCACTCTCCGGTCGTACCAAACACACACACACACACACTCTCACACACATTCACTATTTTGAATGTTTAAATTGCTTTAGAAATGAGATTCATTTATTTATTAACCATTTTTGATTGCATTTTTATTTTTATGCGCTTCTCGCGATTGTATTTTTCATTTTATTTTCAAATTTTTTTAAATCTTTTTTTCCGATAAATTGGTCACATTTCATTTGAAGTTACAAAAGACATGACAATGCGCCTCTCTCACTCTCCATGTCAAACGCATCCATGATTTAAATGAATTCGAATTAATTCACACAATTGCATATTTTTTCCTTTATCTCTCTCTCTCTCTCTGTTGCGCCCCGATGCAGATAAAGTGAAGGTTCCTCTTTGCAATGATTCATTACGATGAGCTGTCCGTTCATGGAAAACACAGAACACATTTATTTTTATTTTTAAATTTTGTTTTTAATAGTCTCTTTATTTTGTCATTTCATTCTCCAAAAAAAAAGTGTTGGTCGGCCATTCTGATGTGATAACTCTCTCTCATTTGCCGGTCGTCTCACGGAATGGCTTTGCGTTCCATTCCGATTTTACGAATTATATGTTACAAATCATAAAAAGTCTTAATCTAAATGCAATTATTACAGATTAATTTAAGAAATATAAGAAGGTTTTTTTTGTGTTTGTTTGTTGTTGTTAATGTTTAATTGTGTTTTTTTTTTCGTCTGGCCATCTCTTTGATGAGCCCGAAAGAGATAACTTAATAGCTAGTGGAAATGTTGATTCATTTTTGTTTTGTTTTTGCTTTAATTCTTCTTTTCCATTGTTTTCAACATATTAAAATTTCATCTACTCATTTTTTTTATGTACACAAGATCTCGAATACTCCTTGGGACATTGAAGGGCATTTCTTTGGATAAGACTGTTTTTTGTTGTTGTTCATGATTATTAAATCTCACAATTTAGAAAGAATTCCGTTGTGAAAACATCATTTCAAATTAACGGGTGTATGGAGGCAACAACAAAACATTCATTCACATTGACGAACGTTTCAGTTGAAAGTCACCGATAAGAATGTGACAAAATGATTGATTCCTCGAAGAAAATCGATGTAAAATGATGCGTCAAATATGAGTGCATCTCATATGCCTTTACAAACTTCAGTGCATCTCACTTGCCTCAATGCTCACATTGAAAAAAAAAACCTTTCGGCGATTACCGATTTTCTTGATTATGAATTGCAGACGGGGATTATCCATGAATAAAGTTTCGAGAGAACAACAATTGTTTGTATTTCAGATCAAGTCATCGTCGTCTCTTTCGTTTGTGTTTTTATGATCGAAAACTTTTCCATTGGATTTTATGTAAGATGTAGAGTTTGTGTTGGAAGATCGTTATTTTGTGTAGATCAGCCGTCGTAAATCACAAACGGTTCAAACTATTTGCGATAACCACATAAAGTTTCTATTGCTTGTTAATTGAAATGATAAAAAAGTAAAACTAAAGGCAAACATCAATTAAGACGTGGGCAATTCGGATCGAAGTGGCATATTTAGTTTACGAATTTTTGCTCAGAACCATTTTGAATATTCATCAATTTCGTTTAAGGCATTTTGTTTTCTTATCTTTTCAACAGTTGCTTTTTTGCTATGAAAATTTGTCAATTTATTTCTAATAAAACTATTCAACAATATATTCCTGGTTTGGATTTTTTTTTCCGAACAGAAAACATAAATTCGATTGCAAGAAGACGGAAAATGTGAAAAACTGACTTCGGAAGTACGAAAAAAAAGTTAACTTTTGTTTTGTAATAAATCGTCGTTGTTGCTCGCAAAATGAAAATAAAAAAAGATTTCTTCGCAAGGCATTTTGTATACGTTATAAGAGCTATTGTAAACTAGGGACGGCATTTTTTAACAAACAAATTAAGCCCAGAAGCCTAGTTTACGGAAGGCGAGAGAAATAAAGTGCGTTTTTTTTTCTTCTTTTTAATTTCGCTTGCGTCCAGCTTCAATGTCCCTCTGGTTCTGTGGTGCTTGATTTGTTGTCGAATGTGATGCTATGGTTTGTGCCTCTTCCAAGTCCGTTTCTTCGGCCTGTAGAAGTTTTCGATGTTTTTCTGCAGAAAAACAACAACAGTGAGAAATAGTTTAGCATATTACAAATGTTCTTGATGTGGCGAGAAAAAAAGGTGACTATTGATGTAGTAGAAGAAAAAAGTATTATTTACTTGCTGTGCGAAGCATAATCATTCCCCACCAAATCGACCATCCCCAACCGACCAGACAGAATATTAGTGTAAATGCTTGCGCCACACCGACAATACAATTGACGAAAAATGAACCGATGCGTGCCCGAGCACCGTCATGTTGCGAGAATCTTGGTATGCCCAAGCATAGGCAAAATAACCCCGAAAATATTGTACCTGTATCAGAAGGAAGAAAAGTAAAACGATGGAGAGAAGAAAAAGAAAGTACACACACAAACGCGCACCCATGAATATCAGTGTGTACAGTACAGGAAATGAAGTGCAATAAACATGTCAATAACAATTACATACCGGAACCAGGTATTAAACAATTGCAAATCAAGCAGAACCATGCCAAACCGGTGGGTAAGACGGGAATGGCAGCTTTCATGATTGATGTATGGTCCACAAGTGATTCATCAAGTTTTGGCCGTGTATCTTCGGGTGGTAGCGTTGGCGCTATGCTCTGTTTCTTGCTGTTCATACTGGTGCGACGGCTCTCGACTACCGATTTCTTCTTGCAACATATCAATTTCTCACACAAACGCCCACAACAGCTCCTGGAAATTGCCGAAGAGAAAATAAAATAGAAAAAAAACCGGGAAGCAAAACGGTATAAATAAAATATGAATTGTACGGTGAATTATTTGTATGGTGGGAATGTGCCACTGAATGGAGCTACTTACTTTTTTGGCATATTTTCGGTGCTTGTTAGGCTGTCTTGTCTACGTTCGCTCCATGCCATTGGTTCTTTCTTCTTACGTCGGCATGGCAAACAGGAGCAGCATCGGGTGGTACTCTCCTCGTCCGATTCATTTCCAGTCGTATTTCCATCGTTACTCGTTTGGATCTTGTTGGTTTTTCGACAACAAAACACTTTGGCCAAGCATAACGCACATTTTCCACGCTCCTTAGCTACTGCTGTCGTTGCTGCTGCTCCTGCTGCCGCTGCCGTTGTGGTGACTTTTCGTGCGGCTTCCTCTTCCATTGTCATCACTTCGTCCATCATTTTTTGTGACGCTTGTTTACTTTTGCGATTACAACATTTCAAATGTTTCCAACAGGAATCGGCGGCAGCATCAACGGTGCTGGTGGCCTTCTTTTCGCTTTCATGTAATATGGATGTTGCGATTTCGGCCGCCTTCTGTTCATCGGCTAATTTTTTGGCGCGATTACAGCACGACAACTTTTTCAATCGACGACATGGCAAACATAACGCTGATGCATAGCATGGGGTACAACATTTACATAATTTACAGCATGTTGTCGGCTCATCCGAGTCTGCATCACCATTTTCCGATCTGCGAATATACACAAACAAAAGAACAAGGCGGATGGGAGAAAGAGAGAGATAGAGAAAAGCGACAGAAAAACAAATAAATAAACAAAGAAAATCTGGATCGGGTGCGTGAACATCTCGTGGAGGAGCAATGATGTGAAGTGGAAGAGAAAAAAAATCAAAAGTTTCAAGATCCATCATTGAAACGATTTCTTTTTTTCGAAAGCCAAAAAAAAAACAACGAAAAAAAGTTTGAAGAAAAAAAATGAGCCCAAAAAATTGTTTTTTTTTTGTTCCAAATTCAATTTCATACATTATGGACGATATTTCTGGCTGAGTAAGTCCTTATTATCAAGTCCTAATGTGTTAGCCTGGCCATAATCGGCTTATATTCGTTTCGGATATGCGACAAATTCAATTCTTATTACTGCATAATTACTTGAAGCAAAACAAAAACAACGACAACGAAAAGAAAATCGGGTTCGAGAAGCAATAATGCGTTTGTAGCGTGAGTTTCAGCTAAGCAAATGGACAACAACAAAACATAAAACTTTCAAACGTTCCAGGCGCTTTTCGCACCCTCCGGGTTTCCCGTGGTCGTGCATAGGACGGTGTGCTGAGAAAGCTCGCAAGCTTTTTTTTTGTTTGGTTTTTTTTTCGCGCCATTATTGTTTTCATTACACTTAGAGCCAACCATGGAATTTATTGTGCGTACGAACAAACGAACGTTTAAAAAAATACATGACTTTACATACGTGATACTACGTTTTGTGTGTATAACAAAAAAAAACAACAGCCACTACCAAATACTACTGGGACAAGGATACCAGCGCGCAGCATAACAAAAACAAAAATCCCAAAAATCGTAGTTGCGATTTTCAATTAATTTCTTTTCTCTACGCTGTTTTTGTGTTTATCTTGTCATTCTACGTACTACTAAGCGATTGTTTTGACTGCAGTGTGTAGTCAAGTTCAGAAAGTTAGAATATGTTCGTTATTGCGTTAAATGAAACTTGAGTGCTTGGTGGTGGTGGTGGTGGTGGTGGTGGTTGATGAGTTGCAATCAGACAATAACCTTTCGATGATTCGAGACAGATCGTCGTGTTCAGTTGGGAGCGCTACACTAAACACAACACTATTTCGTTTTTTCGTCATTTTTTTCATATTGAACAGAATGATGGTATTCGGCAGCACAAACAATTATTGAATAGAATCTTTTCTTTCAAAAGGCAGCAAAATTTTGAATTAAAATCGATGTAATTTGTACGTTGAACGGTATAAATATCAATTATTTGTTGGATTCTTCAGGATATTAACTCATTTCAAAGTGATAAACACACACACACACAAACACGTACACACAATTGATATATATTGTAGCATTTGTCCTAGATATGTATTATTCAGTCACTTTAGAATTGCAATAATTGCATTTTTCGATCATTCGTTGGGAAATTCCCTCCGTTTTTCTCTCGTTTTAGTTTCTCAAAAAGAAAATCCGTTCATCGAGTGCGCGTTCTTGCGTAAGTGACACTTGAGTCTTATAAAACTTTCGATTGACATAAAATTCGGAATTGTCGATTGACATTGACACTTATAAACTAGAAATCTTTGAAATTCCGTCGATTGACTCGCGCGACTAAGAAGTATAAAATAAAATGTGTGTGTTTGTTGTTTGTTTTTTTTTCAAAAGTTTGCAGAGCAAAAGCGTTAAATATATAAAAGAACGAAAAATGCTGTTGTCGAACTAAAATCCTTTGCCGTACTACTGGTCAATTGGAGTGAGAGTGTTTTTCAAAGCGACGAGCTTTTCCAAAGTAATGCCCGTGAACGGTGAGCAGCGGTGGTGGCGGCGACAACAGCAGTGGCTATTGGACGGGGTGAAGAACGAAAGAGAGAAGAGAAAACAAAAAACCAACTACCAGTTTTATGTCGATTGAATGTACCACAAATAATATCGTGCCAGTGGCGAATATTATGATGAAAGTTGTGAATTTGAAGGGAAAACCCAAAGCGCACCGCTGGAAAATCAAATGAAATGGCTTTGGTTTAATTCTATATAATTCTTCGCCTTTTCGCTATGTATGTGACGGTCAGCGGTCTGGCGCGCGCGTGCGGGGCGCAAACACCATATTTTGTGTTTGTTTGTTATGAAAGTGTGTCTCAATACGAACACCAACCACGTTGTATGTGTGTAATATGTTGCCAGCGCGCGGAAAGGAAAGAACGGTGGCGAAAAACGATCGAAAAGAAAAATAGCGAGACCATGAAACCCATTTGGCTTATTAGCATAAAAATCACTACCCTGTTATATATCAACATGCGAGTTACAACAACAATTTTCAATTTGTGTCGTCTGTTTTCTCTCTTTCTCTCCCTATCCCTCTCTCCTCTATTTTTTTCTTCATCATTCCCTTCGCAAACCGCTGCGGAACTCAGCGAACACCACGAAAATTGTCGACATCGTAATTTTTTTTTTTCATTCGTTGAATTGAAGAAATTTTTTTAGCAAAAGTATGTGGTTGAAGAGAAGGTTGTTGTTGTTGTTGTGGTAGGGATCATTGTGAAATGCTTGAACGAAATGGAAAATAATTAAATTCGTTAGATTTTTCAAACCGAATCGACTAATTCGTTCGTATGCCAATCGAAATACCAGAAAACTGTAGACGAGGCCGAGACATCGACGACAATGTTGACGACAACAATAACCGAAAGAAGGCAAAAGAAAACACACTCGCATACATTTTGCAGTGTCTTTCTAAAATTTTGCTAACAATAGCCGTCTCCTTATGATGTGCAATGTCATGGCAATGCAGAATCGCCTTGAGTTATTTTCTTTATAATGCATATTTATCAATATTTCGGCTAGGAAGTTTTTTGGCCGGAGACACCGAAAGCATTTTGCTGGTTTTTCCAGCCGGACAACATGCACACACACACACACACACACACAGTTTGATCAACTTTACGAAAGACTTTGCAATTTGCCCGGGTAAAACCCGGCGGGGGTTTTATTTTGAGGAAATTGTGGGAATGCAGTGATGGATTCTGAGTCAGAATTTCTGGTCCGAGCGAAAACAGAGAAAGAGAGAAAGAACGCACAGACGAAATACAACAATTAAATTGTAACGGAGTCGCATGTAAATCTTATATTTTCCTTGCATAATTGCACGTTATTAGCTATTCATTCATTCGTTCATTTATATGTATAAGATGTAATGGTGGGTTTTGGTTTCCTTTCGACGTTCGCTTTTATCGTACACATATAAACATAATTACGATTTAAGTTATAAACAAAATGCTCCCCGTCCCCTTCTCAACACCAAAAACTGCTTCTTTCCACACCGAACAGAACAGAAAAAAAGCGAACCGTGTTCCGTATTTCCTTCGATTCGAATTCCGATTAAATTGTGTATATGTGTGAGTGCCTTTGTTCTGTTCATAAAACGGTAATTTGATTTGGCCCATATATGAAATATAGTACTAATAACTGAAAGCGAAGCATTTTTCAGCGCAATAATATTAATTAGTTGATGGTTGACCGAATGAGCGGCTAATAATAAAATTCATATTTTAATGTTTACTTTGATTTAAAATCCGTATTTACTTTACAAATGGAAAATACTTTTGGTTTTTTTTTCTAAATTCCATTTCAGCTCTTAAAATAGTCAATTCCAAAAATGTATCCCATATTTCTTCATTTTTTTCATTCAAAAAGATTTGTTTCGCTTAAAATTGATTTGTATTTTTTTCTCTTTTCATTTTTCATCAGAGAAAAAGAATGAAAATTGTCTTGTTCTTCTTTCTTCGTTTGAAACGAATTTCATTTTCTGTTGTTGTTTCGAATTTGAGTCGCTATCATAAAAGTTTCTGTTTCATTGGTTGTTGTGTTCGCTGAAGAAAAAAAGCGCCGAATGAATTTCAGATCAATTTGAAAAATTCCTTTTGGGTTAATTTGATGTTGTGATGGTGGTTGTTCATTGCTTGAAGTCATAATTATCCTCATTTCTTTGCCTCAACCTCATTTTCATTTCTGTTTCGTTAAATGCAAAAGGTGTGGTAAAGCACGTTTTTGATGCAATTTTCTTTTCACTTCTTTTTTTTTTCTACATTATTTAATCAAGATAGCTGATGAAATTTTCTGCTTAAACAACAATTTAACTACGACCCGAGGGTGAGGCGCTAAATTACAACAACATGCAAACTCTAAAGAAGCAGAAAAAGAACACACGAACCAAAAAAAAAACTGGGTGAAAAAAAACAACAACTAAAGTCTATCGTTTGTGCTTTTGTGTGTATGTGAGAGAGAGAGAGAGAGAGAGAGAGAGAGAGAGGGAGAACAAAAATCACTTTATAATGAAATCCGAATAAACGACCATTTGTTTTACTTCGTGCGGATTTCATGAACTCTGGAATGTGAGTGAGCGGTAAAATTTCTACGACGGACCCAAACGGGACATAACAAGTGGCAAAACTTTTTAACAGTTATGCGTGGAAATTATATTGAGAGCTGCTGTGGAAAACTATAGGGACCGAAAACTTAACACACACACTCACAAAACTTTTCTTGTGAATGGCAAGCGAAAGTCACATGTCACCATGTTTTACAAGACTTCAGGGTCTTCTTTCTATCTCTATCTTTGTGTATTGTATATATTCGTTTGGCGTGTGCAAGCTTCGACTACTACTTTTTGCCTGCAACATTCGCTTCCATTCTCCGGGAGTTGGCATGTGCTTTTGTGACCATACAATTTGCGACAACAGCAACAACCAAAAAAAAGTTTTCCCATCTCGATATCTCTTACCCTGAGAACAACTTTAAATATTCTATCCTCATCGAAAACTCTACATAAATTCATGCATGAGAATTTCCCATTTGGGCTCTACAACCAACCATCGCAGAACGCATGGCAACAACAATAACAACTAATAATAATAATTACACTATTTTCGTTTATGGTTCGATGAAGCAATCAAAATCACTTCGCCGCAATACATTGAAATTGAAAAGGCAATAAAGAATATAGCAGCAGCACCAGCAGCACCAGCATTTCTATTGGCCGAAACGAAATCTTTTCTCCAACCGACCGAAAGTCAATAAAATTTATGCTGAATGAACCACTGACTGAAATTCCATACTGTTTATTGTTTTTCTTGTATGTGTGTGTGTGTGTGTGTGTGTGTATGTCGTTGTTACACAGAAAAAAGGAATGAAAAGAGAAGAGGAAAAAAAATCGCGGCCAAAATTCTCATGAAATGTTGATATTAAAATCTTGATAAAACAATGACATATAATTTATATAAGCTAACCTGGTCAAAAAAAAAACGAATGTAAATAATAACCAAAAATGTGTACACATGATACAACTGAAACAACTCTATTTGGTGTGGTGCTGCCGTTGCTGCTGCTCTTGGGTGAAGAAAATAGCGACACGTAAGGTGTGCGAGGGGCAACCTCATTCATTTGGATTTTACCGTTCTAGTTTTTCTTTTTTGTTTGCCTCATGAATCATTTACGAGAGTATTTCGAGTAATTTCACAACGCATACGAACAAATGCCAAAAACAAATAACATTTCTAATGGCTAAGGTATGTGTGGTTCGAAACGAAACGGTGGCTGTGTAATCTCGATTTCAACGTTTTATTAAAATTTCATGTCACACCATTTGCTCTCTCCACAATTCGACAAGAAAAAAACGTACAAAAAGCAAAAGAAAATTGTTTATGGTTCAGGGAGAAAAGCGAGAGTTGAAATTGACTTACGTTTCATTTTTGGCACCAGCGGCAGCATGTGAGGTGATACCATTGTCTTTGTCCATATTGTCGCCCAATCGATGTTCGCTTGACATACCCGCTGCCGCCATATCGCCTGCATCCAATTTACCATGCACCGGCATTTCGATGATGTCGTCGGCTTTCATTAGCAACGCTTCGCTGTCCATACCGCTAATTAAGGTGTTATCAATAACATTCACTTTCGTTTCGATTGGCGTTCCAATCAATTCACGCTCGATATTTTCGGGTACGATTGATGTTCCAAGCATACTTGCGCCAGCATCACCCAGCGTTCGTGTGCTTGATTTTTTCTCCAGAACAGCAACGGTGCTATCCATTTTGGTGGTTGCATTGCCATTTGCATCGATTACAGCTTTATCACTTTCTTTCTTCATTTCTTCGTCTGATTTCTTGCCATTCGTTGCGTTTGTCATTGCACTTGTGGCCGCTGTGTCATTTGCCATTGCAGCCGCCGCCGCCGTCGTCGTCGTTGCTGTTGCTTCGCTGCCGGCCGTTGTATCGGTTTTTGTGCTTGCATCGTTTACATGACTGGAACTTATGTTATTATTATTGTTATCGCTGTTTACATTTGAATTATCATTATTGACTATTTGGCCTGAACTGTTCTTCTTACTGAGATGATCCGTGACGGCTGTCGTTATTTGAACGGGTTGCGATGTAACAGCAGCCGTCGTCATCGATACACCATTCGATTTTGTCGTTAGTGGAATTAATTTATCACTTAAATTGGCAGTGTTTATTTCATTCAGTCCATCCGATTCCGAGCTGGTTCGTCGCTTTTGTTTAAAACTATTTTTCTTTTCCAATCGTTTTGCCAGACTGGAATCGGATTGATTTTTCGATAGTGTCGATGTATTTGGATCACGTCGGGCATTCGGTTTGGCTGTTGCTCCACTGTTGCTGCCTCCGATGCCGATCATGGAATTTTCTCGTTTTAATTTTTGTTGGCTATTTTCACGTTTTAGATTCGATGGTTGCCGTTTGAGGGTGGATGGTTCACGTTTGATTGTGGCCGGCGGTGCTTTTTTCACACTCGATTTTTCGCGATTGATTGCCGGCTCCTTCTTTGCACTGGATGATTCTTTGTTCACCGAATTCGGAATGGATTTTGTGCTTCCAGTTTTTGTATCAATTTTGGCACCTTTTGACGGTGACGAAGCTTTCGCATTGATTTTTTGCGGTATTTTTGTTGGCGATTTGTTCATTGACCCTTTCATTGGACTTGTTTCTCTTGAATTTACTCGCGAACCGGCCCGACTGCCGCCGTTCACATTAATACTGCTCGATCGTCGAATGGGGATTTTGGTCGGTGAATCGTTGCCAAACTTTCGACCATCCATCGCATCGTTCCCGCAACGCGATGAATCTTGGTCACAGTCTTTGTTTGGTGTGCCAACGATCGGCGATAATGTGGTTGGCTTGGAAATTCGGTTTAGCGATCGGGATGGTGCCAGTGATGTTGACGGTCCCATGCCCAAATCAATCATTGAACCACCCAATTCGTTGCTGCTTTTTCGTCGTCGTCTCGGTGACACCGAAGAACTGTCCCGTCGATTACTAAAACGATCCGTACTATTTGACATTCGACTGTCTCGCCTCACCATCGATATGCTACTATTTCGCGAGATGTTTGGCGTTGATACGCTACTTTTTCGTCGTGGTATTCGCGATGGTTGAACGGCTCCACCACCACTCACAACGCCTAATAAACCTTTGTGATAGCTACGTGGATTCACAATCGGTTGAGTGAACAGCAAATCATCAGCCGAGCGTTGAATATGATGACGAGGTGCTGGTGATGGTTTTGGACCTCGTAACGAACCGCGTCGACTAAGATTCGCCGACGATCGTATTTGGCCATTTTCTGTAAAACTTTCCATGTCACGATCATGATAGCTCACATCACCGTACGATCCACGACTGTCATTTTCATCGGTGGTGGCCTCAATGACACGGATTGCCGTTCGTTTCCGCGGTATCGGTGGTATAATATTAAAATGTACACTCGGCTTGGTTTGGATGTGGGAGTCATCGTGCGATGACGGTGTGTCCATCTCCATCATATTTCGTGGTGATTCTGGGCAAGACACAGGTCGTGAAAATCTCTTGCTTGATTCAACCCGAAATCCTTTGCCACGGAACGGTGACGCTCGACCACCCGTTGGACTGGCCGGTCGCGATTGATTCGGTTCCAACTCATTGATTATTGTAAATGACGTCTTCTTATGCAGTCGACTTGGTTGCAATCTGTGGAGAAATGGAAAATTTCATCAAAATTCATCGTCAAATTGAAGAAAAGAAAAAGATCATTGTTCTGCATTCATACCTAAATTCTGACCCCGTATTTATCGTACTGGTTACGATAGCCGGGCTAACGTCACGTTTCGGCGGGCTTGCAGTGCTTAAATAATCTTCAGATGATGACTCATTTGTGATTGGCCGTGTGCCTATCACGGTTGCTGGTCGACTATTTTTATCTTGATATGGAAGAACTTGAATTTGCCTAACATGATGACCACTTGCCGATCGGATATCATCACCGCCGCTGCTCGGTGTAGATGATTCGGGCAGAACCGCCGTCATTGCGCTGCCATGGTCAATGTGCATAACATTTCTACTCGTTGGCCGCTGGTATCCTTTCCAACCGTCATTAATGTGGGGCCGAATCCAATCGTGACCATTACTTTGTGAATCGCTCGACTGGATCGGTATGATATTCCGATAATTGATTGGTTCTTCGGGAAAAAGTCGTTTTGGCGCTGTCGGAACCATGATTTCACTTTCAGACCTGGTGCAAACGAGGAACAAAACCACAACAATTAAAAAACAATCGCCGCAAAAATACACAGATTTTTATTCCAACTAAATTGAACCGAAAAAAAAGAAACGGAACTGAATTGCATTCGAAATTAATTGAAAATTTAAAAAACCGCCTACCCATATGTATCTAAATTGGCACGAAATTCATCGGAGAATGATGAGCTGGAACGCCTTTTATTATCAAACCGGAATTCATCACGAAACGCTGAATCACCTGGCGCCGGTGGTGCTGATCGATCTTTTGATGGTCGCTGATGATGATGATGTTTGGCCGACATTTGCAAGCGATGCGCACTATTTTGTGCATCCATAAAATCATCGATAAACGCTTCATTCGTACATTCAACTGCTGCCGGGGGCACGGGAACCGTGTGTGAGCTACCGCGCCGAAAACTGCCATACAAATGATTGTCTAACGTTTCGAGAAAATCCATGGACGGGGTTATCGGATCGCCAAATAAGCTCTGATTTTGATTGTCATAAAAATTTGCGGCTGACGATGCGGGCGACATGCTGGAATAGTAATAGTCGTATCGCGACCGTATTGTGGGCGAATGAGACGATCTCATTATTTTTGATTCGGTGTCGATATGCGAATGAGTTGATTTGGTTATGTGTATTTGCAAGACAAAGTCGCTGTTGCCCGATTTGGTAAATCGTTGTTGCTTCGTATGCTGTCATTTAATGTTCGTTGTGTCCAGTCGAAACTGTTATGACATTCCAATATGACGACAAAAAAATCCCCAAAAAAAGAAACAAAAAAATTGTACGATGTGTTGTTGTGTTTTGTTTCTTTTATTTAGAAAAAAAAATCGCTCTCGTCTCTCTTGTTTGCTTTAAATCTTGTAGACACTCTTTCTCACTATTTCGATTTGATGTCCCAGGAGATTGTTAGTTTTTATTTCGATACGTTTATTCAAGTGTAATTTTATCTTCTTATTTCGCTTTTTTGCTTATATTTTTTATCTTCTCCACGTCAATTCATGGCCTTAAATGTCTGTGTAGAATGAGAAAGGAAAGAAAAATAAATGATAGAGAGAAAAAGAAAAAAAAACAATCAATATTTTCGGTCAGCAACATCATACGAAGCAGTTGGCTAAGATTTATCGCACGTTCTCTTTTGTCAATCAGGCAATTACATCACTTGTGGTAAAAAGCAGTTAATTAACGATTCAAATGCAATTATTCACATAATAAAATGCAATGCACTAAGATCGCAAAACTGTTCGCCTTTTCTTCTTTTTTTTCGTTTGCAACCACTTGTAAAACTGTACGTTTTTCTTTCTATGCTTATGTTAATGCATTTGATGTCGTGATCTGAACCAAGAAAAAAAAAGAATTGCATTTAAAATGCAAACGAACTCTAAAAATAGACTCCAGATAAATCTAAACACATTTCGACAATTGCGATTTTTTTTAAAGCCAACGCCATACAAATTGCAAAAAGACTTTTATGCTGAATGTGTGACTTCATTCTTCATTTCCACGATTGTGTATAGCATAAATGCACACGTGTGGCTGATTGTTTGCAGTTAGAATTGAGCTAGAGGTTATCAAGTCATTCATTTCAAGTTCAACACAAATGTTTTGACGTCAAATTTGCATGAATATTCAAATCGCATCGGAAGAAGAATCTTTTTGTTGCAAAATCTTTCATTTCCTTTGTTTTGGCTTTTGAAAGACTGCCTGTTTGGCGGGCACACGTTTACACTCTTTTGCCGTGTGTGTGTGTGTACTATCTCGCTGCACTCGTCTGTTGCACTTTTAATTGATTTCCTTCAATGCACTCATATGAATCGGAATCGCATCATAAATTTCAATGAAATCATTGAACTGCTTGCATTAACGAAATAATCTCATCGTTGGTTCAATGGCCATGCAATGCAAACACACACACAATCTCTCTCGGCTCCATTGCAACTACAATTGGTTGCAGGCAGCACAGACAAGAAAAAACAATGCCGATTCGGTTTTAGAATGAAACGACAAAACCCAGGTGCGTGGTTTTGTTCTCAATCAACATCCAATTGAATTCAAAATACGAAATTTGTGCTTCGAGCACATTTGTTGCGTGGTACGATAAAATTTCAAGGTTTTTATTTTTGTATTCTTGGCTGTAACGTGTGGTCACTTTGAATTTATTTGTGTGCAAATGGCTGGCAATGAAAATGACTAATTTGATGATTTATTCAGCACATAAAACTCCAACCGTTCTGTCACAACAACAAGATATCACCGAATTTACTACAAGTTGTTTTTTTTAGGACGGAAAGCGATACTTTTTCGATCACGATTGAATTAATTCAAACGGAATTCGGTTTCACTTGGCTCATGGGCGAAAACGAAAATGTGCGTAATCACGTTTGAGCTGAATTTTTTTTCTTTCAACTGGAAAATTTTTCGGTTAACTAAAAATGAGCACACTACAAAATTTACGCTTAGTTCACGCTCGCGCTCGATATGATTATCAAAGCCAACTGCATGGAAAGTCTATTTCGATTGAACAAGACTGTCGATGGGCGAAGATGACGTAGTCGCTTTAAGATTGTTCATTATTATTACAATCTCTCCTGGCACCGTATTGTACTCGATACCATCGGTTTTTTTTTGTTGTTCGTTGTTGTTATTATAGTTCACTTTTACTTAACCAAATACACACACATAAACACTCGATAAAATTCGCCATAACGGAAACATGTGCACACGATTAAAAAAATAACTCGATCGTTATAAAATACATTGTACGAGTCGAATCAATGCATAACGAAAAAAAATTAATCAAAATCATTTGATTGAAAAGAAGAAAAAAACAACGTGCAATTATTGCAGATATTTTACGGTTAAATGTGTGTTTTTTTCCACTTCTTTTTCTTCTTTCCTGTGCCGACAATTTTGGGAAAAACGTCTCTTCATTAACGGCGCACTAATTTTGATGCGTAAGCGCCGCTTCGTTTTTTTACTTCTTCTTCTTTGTGGTCTTTTTTTACGTCTAGCGCCGATCAAAATGAAAACAAAACTCATATAGCAAACAAGCCAGAGCGCCCATGTATCGTGTGAGAGTGTGATTCATTGGAGCCAATAAAGAATCACCTTAAAATCGAATTATTATTTCCGAAATGAGAACTCACTCTCTCAGCCACTGCTGCCGTCGCCGTTGCGGTTGCCGTCACCGCCACAGCAGCACCAAAGGCTGTGCGATTGGGTGAGTGTGCCGATTGTGTAAGTGTTTACGCGCACTGAAAATGATATGTCTGAATGAGTTGATGTTTAATCGACGACTATCCATGAACCCGTCACCTAAACGTAATATTTTGCCGTTGTTTGTTTTTTTCCTATCTGCAAGGAACCGTATGCAGAATTGGTTTGCTGCATATTTAATTTACCATATGTTTTGTGACTGATTTTTGCTTATTCACTCTTGAAAAACAAAAAACAAAAAAACAAAATTGGATTTTGCTTGGTCGTGGGGGCGCAGAATGCATTCTCATTTGTGCCTTCACTTAAGCAGCGAATATCTGCTCTGTTTTCTGCCACAAGTAGAATGAAGAGAGAAAAAAAACCTAATTTTCACCGGTGCTTAAACAAAAATGTGTGTTCATTGACAAACAGCGATTCAAAAACTACACAACTGAAACCACCACCTACGCACGCTACGCTACCGTAATCTTGTGCAGAAACAACGGCAAAAATGAGGCAAAATATCGTTGTGACTAATTATATGAGCTAGCATGACGAAGTCTTAATTGCTCTTTCTCCCAAAGGCCTTCTGCCGAGAAGAGAAAAGTTTCGGTTTCAGTTTCAGTGGAGAAAAAAAGAGAGAGACACGGCCTAAATTGCAGTTTCGGGCATCAACATCGCGCGCACAAAAATGTGGATCATTTTTCGGAAATGGCATAAACAAACAATCAAATAAATTTATTCGAACTTTCATTCAATTCGTTAGTCGTACGAAAATGACAAGCTTCTTTGTGCTTCTTGAAATGGCAAAATTCATGAAATGGTACATTTCATCCAAGGAAATTATAACCGTTTCTCTTTGAAAATTTATTATAACTTTTGAAATGAATCGATTTAAGGCGCTGAAATGGAGTTGAAATTTCATCAACATTCGAATAAAAAAAAATCCATATTGAACGGTGTAGAAAAGTTATACCATTTGGTGTTTTAAAATGAAACAAAAGCTGCCATCATTATTCTCGTGCTATATTCCATTTACTGACTCGGATTACGTGTAAATGATTCGGTCACTCGATTTAAAAATGAACGGCATTGCAAAAAGGCAACAATTTATACAAAATTATTCGGTTGGATCGGGTTTTATTTCATTCGATTAAGAAAATGGACCGAGTAATAAGTTCGGCTCAAGTACCGATTGCTTATCAACACGTTCATACAATAGCGATTCCTCATTAGTTCCTCATATCACCATCGCATATATTGCGGTTGCCATCAAACAAACCACATAACGAGAAAATCTAAAATGCGTTAGATTTTCCGAAATAATGGAGAGAGTGTGTGCGTAGCAATAAGTAGGGCAATTGGCAAACACATGTCACGGATAAAATAAACGAAATAACAAACACACTGTCCAGCCACACAATGCAAATGGTTTTATTTGTGTGTAAGTGTATATTCAAGTATTCGCCATATTCAACGCGACTGAGGAAAAAAGTGTATACGAAAAAAAGGCGAATGAAAAGAACACACCATCAGATTGAGTGAAAAGATATTCGGCGTAAATGTAGCTACGCGCAAAGCTCGGCAGCCCGTATGCCGTGTGGAATTAATAAGGTTTTCTTTCTGTTTTTGTATTTTTTTTTTATTATATGATTCATGTAACCATTTCACGCGCGTACGAAAAATCCACACTTACACACACCAAATGCTACACACATACCAATAGGCACTTTATTAAGGACACTTCGAATAAATTATCCTGATTGAAGGCCAAGCAATTTTTCGCAGTTGAGCGATTTAATTGGAGGCAACAAACAGAAGAAGAAGAAGAAAAAAAAGTGCACGATCAAAAGCCACGAGTTCAGGCGATTCAATGCAATCCCTGGGTCGATTTTCGGTTTGAATACAGTTCCGTGTATGCAAAATCTGGGACAAGTCATTCACTGTACTCGTTGGTTTTTATTCGCTCTCTCTCTCTCTCTTTCGTTCTCGCCCTTTGAACGATTTGATTTTTCCCCCTTCGAACGAACACGTATTTGATCTGGCTAATGACAAATTCTTGAATGAACTGAAATTCTTTTCTTCATTTTGGATTGGCATTGGTGTATCATAACGTAAACGAAAGTATAACATTGTGCAAGAATGCTTGATGAATTGTTGGAATAGAACAATACACGCAGCAGCAGCTGCCAAGATGGACGCTGCTAAGCATAAATAAATGCGAGCCAACACACACTGAGATTATAAGTTGTGGTCATGGTACGATACATTTTGCACCGAATGCACACTTGTTACCTAGAATGAACAATATATTTAGATATTTTAATCAGTAATTAAGATCGGCATCGAAGCCATGACAATTGTTAGCTGTGCTGTGGTCAGAGCGCAGATAGAGAGAGAGAGAGAGAGAGAGAGAGAACATCCGCAAATTCGACATGATCGAACGATAGAAATATATCACTATCCCCATTCAATTGGCGCAATCAAAGCAGAATCAAACAGAAATTACACAATTACTGTAAATAAAATTAAAAACAAATAACAATAACGAATGAACGAAAAACAATAAATGAAATATAAAAAAAGATACGAAGGAAATTAAAAATACCGAAGCAATCGACAGGTAATTAGAGTGAAGAAGTATGCCGAATGCCGACCATGGTTGTTTTTATTTTATTCAAATGGATGCACTGAAGATGACAGAAACAAGAAGCAAGAATCATCAGCTCAATTCACTGTTTAATTATGGTGTTCGTATTTTTTGCTGTTGCTGCTATGTTTTGTGTTTTTCCATCGTTAATTGATGTGTGCTTTCTTTTGTATGCGCTCGGCACGGCACTTTGTGTATTGTGATTTCCATTTGTCGAATTGCAGATGAACTCATTTGAGGCAACAAGCAATTACTAAGCAATCGAAACAGAACAAAACAAACAACATTTGAACATTTACTTCAGATCTTTCTACTTGGTTGACATTTCGGATGACAATTATTGAAAGTTTCAATTTGAAGTTGTACCACGGTTTGGTTTCGCTTAAACTGAGCCAAACACTCGATCGTAGAGACGCGTGAAAACTAAACAAAAATTCCATTTTCAACTACACCCTTTCAATCATTTCTCGCCTCTTTTCTCAACTGATTCTCTCTCTCTCTACCTCGCTTTCTGTTTTGATCGTTCAGCACTTCTTTCGATTTTCATTGCCGATGAAGAGATCGGTATCGCCAAAGCGCATTAGCGTTTGTTAATCTCGTTCAATGGCTGAGTTCGAAAGTTGGCTAAGCTTCAAATTGAAGCCATCAATATAGAAACAACAACAACAAAATTAATTCTGCAGCGGGAATTTATTTATGCTGCGGAGGCGTCGGTGGCCGCAGGGCAGCAGCAGATTTATGCATTGTAAGAAAAGAAAAAAACAAACAACAACATGATGATGTTGCCCATTGGATAATTTGCACGCTCGAAATGACGTCTCAGTGAATGCATGCGCACACTCTGCATAAAGAGGTAGATAGAGCTAAATCATTCGCAATAAACTTTGTGTTCGATTTGCAATTTTGCTGCGATGGATAAGCACCGTTATATACAATTGTATTTTAAATAGTTTCCGTCAGATTTGTCTTTCGACCGGGCCGTTTGGGCCATCGACATTTTTTTTCTTCATTTCACTAAAATGCGCATTTATAATTTTCATTTGCAAACCATACACATACACATGCACACAAATGGCGCTTTCCTTTGATGAAAATAATGTAAGAAATTTGTTCAATCATTAGAAACATCATGTTTATTTGCGAACTCCATCGTTCGGACACAGAAAACAGAATTGTAATCGTTTTTTTTCCCAAAACAAGATACTTGTCTCGCTATTAGCGTGCACAATTTAACACCCACCAAAACATTGGCTCTGCGTTTTTATTTAGATAATCCATAATTGTTCGAGAAAGTTTTGCCTGAGGACATTTTTTTTTAAAGATACAACCGATATTGCACCGAACTAGTAACATTAAAATTCTAAAATTGTCTTGTTACTCACCGAAAATAAAGAAGAAAAAAAAAACAAACAATTTAATAAGCACATACGAATTTTTCTATGGTTTTCTGTTCGATTTGTTTATTTACTTTTTGTTCCATTCTCTCTATCTCTTTCTGGCCGCTCTCTGGCTGCAGACAATAATCTTATGGTTCGATAAGTGGTAAGGCTAGAATAACCAACACTGAACCAATGCATACACAATATAAAGACATTGTCTTGCGCTCGGCGCGCGATTACATTGTTTTACATTCGCTTCAACCGCATTTCTAAATTCCGTTTGATTTTTCTCTCTCTTCTTTCTTTTATATCTCGCACGTTCGCTGTTTGTGGTTGCTGTTGTTTTCAAACACACATAGAGAAAGAGAAAAATACGTGAATTTATGATATCGCCGCTATGATATTGTTTCTTCTTCTTACTTTTCTGTTTTCTTCTGATTTTTCTTTTTTATAATGCAATTTTTCGATTTAAACTTGTGAACTTTGTGGCTTGGTTTGGTCTGTATGGGTCAGAAATGGTTTGAAGCGATTTGCCACTGCACTCTCTCTCACTCTCTCTCGATCCATACAACATAATAGCACATGCACATTACACATTTCTTCCTCAGTGTGTCTCTGTCTCGTTTTCGCTCGTTCGCTCGTTCTCTGTCGCTTTGTTTGTGTGTCGTGCGGTGTTTCCCAGTCAGCGGCCGATGGGTTTTTCATTTGGGTGCAAAATGCATGACACGAAATGCAGAATTTTCGCGGCGGAATGTTATCACATGGCGACAGATGACACGAAACATTCTTAACT